ACACCCAGTGGACCGACCGCAGAATACACTCACAGCCCTGTGCTGAACGCAAAGGCATTAAAGAAACTATTACTCTTTAATCTGTATTTAAGGCTCTTAAAATACATTGTAAAACGGTGGCATTTTTATTTTGAGACGGAGACTGTGATACCTTCCTCATAATGCAAAAACGTTGGCTTTTAATTATTTTATTTTAAAAGGATAATTATTCAAAATGTAATACATTGTGAAATAACAATAAAAACAGTTGAAGTATCAGTTGTTGATGTTTTCATTGTTGTTGTTGTCTTTTGGTTTGTCCTTGTCTTTATAGAAAAAAAACAGATGAAAACAATACAAACTAAAATGTTGACTTGACCTCGGTATACCCGGCGTCCCATCTTAAAGTCATCAAGGAAAGAGTGACCATCGTTGAGTCGTCCAAGGACACATCCAGCGTCGGCCTGTAATGGACCGCAAGCATCCTCTGTTGCCATGGAAACTGTTTCCGCTCTTCCGATGTCGGGCCTCGGCTCTGCCTGTTGCCACTATCGCCTCTTGTTGGTTTGCAGCCCAAACAGACTTGCTCCGCTGACATTACGAGCCTGGGCTGAGATGTAAAATGCACCACTGGTCAGATCACATTCACTTATTGTAAAATGACAACATGACTGACTGCAGGGCTTCATTACAGGACGACAGAGAACCTCAGCAGCAAGCTGATTATGTGTGTCTGTGTGTGTGTGTGTGTGTGTGTGTGTGCTATACGGACAGACAAGAATCCTTTTCCTCATTTGTTTTCTTTATATTTTAAAGCTTGAATCTAGCTTTGGCTGCAGAAATGAGCAAAACAATCACAGAAAAGCAAGTGTTCACTGAGTCGGAGATGACCTCTCACGCCTTTTTGATGAGAGGATGAATCTTAATGCCACTTGGAGAGAGTTGAACCAAGGAAACTACCTCCAGCAGCATCGTGTCAGGATATATCTCTCACTTCATCTTTCTCTTTTCATTTTCTTTCCTCTGCTTTTCTCCAGTCCAGTCCTGAGTCTTATCGTCTTTCTCCTTCTACTGCTTAATGATGACCTCTTCACCAATGCACTGTCCACCAATATTTGTTATCTTACTGACATATACTGCCTCTATGTCTAAGCCTCTCTATCTTTGTCTCTGTCTGCTTACTCGTCTCTTGAGTACAGTTTCTCTTTCCCTCCCACTGTTTGGTTTCGACTCACAGAAGCAGACACCCAAGGACAAAGAACTCTTAAAAGCATTCCCTTTATACTAAACACTGTATGCATATAACAGGGGAAATATACATCTGGGAAAAGCAAGTGTAAAAGCAGGCTTAGGTTTTACGAAATGGGAGGAAAATCAAATGTACTTGCAGCTTTGATCACAGTAGAAACTAGAAGGGCATTCAGAGAGTGCTGACATCCGCCAAGGCAACATTTAATGAGCTCTTCTTTGGCCATTGCTACACCCGTAGCAAGTAATAAGGCCAGACGTTTTCCAGTAATCCTGCTGATGAACAAACCAAACCAAAAACATCTTTGGCAGAGGAAATAAGACCCAGTCATACTGAATCTCTACTGTTCGTCTGCCAAGAATGTGAGAGGAAGACAAACAGCAAAACCGTTTTTCTTTGGAATAACATTAGACTGCTAACATCGTATTATTATTCTGTTGTTCAGCAGTTCCCTCTTGTCTGACATAATGTTGTCCCCACAGCCCGTTACTGATGAAGCTACTCCTTAATGTTCCAGTTGTTTGTTGGTAAAGATTGTACTGTATATGTACTAGCTGCTAGTTACCACAGCAGAAGCTGGACGTTTAAACCAAACTAAACCATTCAGCCATTACTTTAGCTAACTATTCCTGCCAATTATCTATTATGCTACTTTTAACGAACAATCTCAACCAATTATATATATTACTTTTGGCTAAATATTTCAACCCTTTAACTTTTAGCTAACTATTTTAGCAATCTGTCCATTGCAGATACTTTTAGCTGAGAATTTCAACAACTTAGCTTAGCCATTGCCTTTAGCTAGCTAACTATTTCAACCGTTTCCTACTAAACTATGTGAGCAGTTGATTACTTTTAGCTAACGCTAGCGCTTAACGCTAACTGTTTCAACTAGCGTTACTGTGGTAACTGAGTTAGCTCACGTTAACTGGTAACGTTAGCATAAGTTAATGTTTGTGTTCAGGTTTTACAGCAGACTCAATGTGTGAAGTTTAGCTATAGCGTTAGATTAGATCATTCACATCATTTCTATTTTGTTATAATTAAATGAGCTCTAAAGTTATTTCACATTTCAGAAACCTCTACATAAAGCGTCCACAAATCCACAAATCCACAAATTACACAATAAAGGCTAAACTGCATGAACAAACTATCACCTGCCTGGGCACGCCCTGCTTTGACTTACAGTAAGCTTTCTCTCCTCTAAGCAGCTGTTGAAACACATCCACCCCCATGTTTCAGGATTGAGAAACCAGCTCGTGCCAGTTCCACACTGAGCTACACTGGTCGTTGATATTGACTGACTCCAACCACCTTGAAAAACAAGATTTGATTTACATATCCAACGGTGAATATGTGCATTCAAGCATCGTGAAGCCAGGAAAACCAACAGTTGTGACTTTGTAGAGCTGTAGCCCCTTAGTGGTGAGAGAGTAGCATATTTAAGCTCTTCATTTCCCTCTCTCCAGCCTGCGGCTCTCACCAGCTACACATGACGAGTTATTACTCACATATCAGCAGATATGTGCCAGCTCATAGATAGATCACCTGCTCTACACTACCATGAATGTCCAAAACACCCATGAATGTAACTGGGAGTGATGGCACTGCAAATGTGGTGATCTAATATTGGTGCTGAAAACAGTCTTAATGTTCATTTATACAGCTCCATCAAGATTCAGATGCATTAAAGTCTAAATGGAAGCAGTGGCTTCCTCCTCTGCTGAGGCTTTTACACTTACATAATAATTCAATGAAATACATACTGCCGTACTTAGATTGATTAATAATACATTATTCAGTCAACAGTTACACTGCGAGTGTGCAGTATTGAGATGTCTGTACATGTGAGGGCCTGTACCTGCAGTCAGAGCAACACCTCACAAGTGAGATTTGTTTTGTCATCTTCAGACCACACTGCACGAAAAGACGTGCATCCTTCAAAATGTGGGTGCAGGTGCAGGTATGAGCTTGTGCATAGAGGTATTCGTGTGACGGTTGTGTGAAAGGCAGAAAAGCTGGAGAATTTTTTGGGAAAATATCCAGTTCAAGTTTCAGGGGACTTTTGGCAGACTAGCCAGGTGTTGCACTATATTTATCCGACAGCTGCACAAGCTACATTGTACATTTTTAGAGGAGAAGTAAATAAATTCTTTGCAGAGGATACGCTTTTCCAGCATTGGCAGCAATCGCAGTACCTCCCTGCAGTACAGCTCTGTTGGCAGGTTATTGTCAAGAAGCAGCGTGGCAAGTGATGAGAAGCTGGAGGCTCATTTTACTTATATAACTCTTTAAAATGCGTTTATGGGGAATATTCTCAAAGATAAAATGAGGAAATGTTAAAAGAGGATTCAATTAAGCTCTGCTGCAAACAGTGTCTTAATAGGATTTATACAATATCATAATCAAGTTTGAAGGTATTGTGAAGTAAATCTCTACATTTAAACGAACTCAAGTACATGCAAAGCCCTTTAAACTTGTTTTCACCTGCGCTGCAATACAAACCAGTTTCAGATGTTTTTTTTCAATCATTTTGCAGACTAAAATAGTGCTCATCAGTTCCTTTGTACAGATACGATCCTGACACATCAAAGAAAAGTGTTCCTGGAGGTTCAGAGCTGATCAGTTTTCTCTCTCTTCTCCCAGACAGACGTTGCGTTCTCCTCTGGATACGTCAGGAAAAACCTTGTCTCCTCTGCAAAACTAATTTGCATATTGCGCCAGATCCTAATGTGGGCATAATTTAAGATAACAAGAACACATTTTAATACCATTAAATAGGGCGTTCGTTCTGTAAATATAAACGTGATTGAAACAAAGGATCCTCACTAATAGAAGTCGATGCAGCTTTTACATTTTGAGAGAGAGTAACTTGTCATTTCATGCCTGCCCTCATGCAGGATCACTGAGGTATTTGGGGATGTCTGGACAGATATCTTTTCTACTTTGTTTGCCACCAGTTTTTAGATGATAGAATCAGTTTGCTTGTTTTGATCTTTGCTGCAGCCCCCACCTTCTCCACACACACTAAAGCTCTTTTTCAGTGTTTGTTGTAAAACTTGAGAATGTGGCTGGAGGTTTTAAAACGTAGAGGGTGACAGTAATGTGGAATCCAATACATCTTGATTGCAATTCTTGCTTTGATGTACTATAAGAGACTTGAAATTATTTACGGCTAAAATACCGATTTGCTTTCAGCAGGACACACAAAACCATGCAGCACATGTAGCAGCAGGAGTTTGGAAATGAGCCTGTTATTCTTGTCTTTTATTTATTTAATTACAGCCGACATGGTTTGTTCTTTGGGTATTACAAAAACTTTCCAGGCCGAGCTTTCACAGCTCAACAAAATTCAGCTGCTTGCAGAAAGGTCAGTCCTCAGCACGACTTATTCTTGGACAAAATTCTGACGCAAACTGCAACACTGATAGAAAACCTCTGAAATATCTTCACACAGCCTCCTGACCTTTGATCTTAAGGAACACAGAATTGTTTGCATGATGCATATATATGTGACTTCTCTCTGGAGTAAAGGGGAAGAAAACTGGTTAGATCAAGTATTAAACATCTCAAATTGACAAATGTTTCATAATAATACATATTTGCTAGAATAAATGTTCTACCTTTTAGGGCTACAAATATTAAAGTCAAAAGTCTATATTCATAAATCAGGAAAGTAGAGCCAATCTGGTGGACTGTGAGTATCACCATATAGTTTATTTTAAAGAGGTTGTTTTTTTTCAGCAGGCAGGAACGTTTCACTTTCACTCTTGTTCCTCATCACTCATTCATTCCAGAGCATGTCTGCTCACGTTAGGAGCTGACAGCACATGACTTAGTGTTTACCTTAAAGTGGACTCAGTGAGCCTTCTTCCACACAGCAGATGCTCTGCATGGTGAGTACACAGCCCGTTAGTACAATCTCTTGCCTGTGTTTAGCTTGTATTTGCTTCATCTAATGTGATATTGATTTCAAATGCAGATGAAAGAGATGAGTTTCTCCTCTGATGTGATGAGTCGGCATGTTTTTGGCTGGGTTTCCATCCTCTGGTTGACTTCAGCAGTCAACATTGCTGGTGAGGCTTTTGTTTTGTGCATGAAAAGACACGTTTATCAAAACAGTACAGAACAGCTAGCGTGGTTCTTCCTGATAATAGTCCAACATATAACCCTCTCTATAGTTAATAGTCCAACATATAACCCTCTCTATAGTTAATAGTCCAACATATAACCCTCTCTATAGTCGCTCTTTGGGTTTAGAACAGATTAAACAAAGTGAGGTTTAGAGGTGCTGGTAGGTGGATTGTTTTTGTTACATCTGGACAGAACCAGGCTAGCTGTTTCCCCCTGTTTCCAGTTGTTGTGCTAAGCTAAGCTAACTGGCTGCTGGCTGTCTACATATTCATCATTCAGAACTGAGAGTGGTATCAATCTTCTTATCTTGCTTTTGGCCATAAAGTGATTATGTGTATTTCCCAAAATGCCTCACTATTCCTTAAGATAGTCATAAAACTGTTTAACCCAGCTGTATACTTACAGCTGCCCCAAATCTAAATGAAAGGTAACTAAAGACTAAAGACTACTTTCACAAAGTAATTATCATAATTTGACCCTCAATGTTTTCAGACAGTGTTTTTTTAATCATCCCTTTCTCTGATAATTCAGCCAGTCAAGGTGTGACGCTGGAGACCATTTCCCAGGTGGTTGCGCAGTGTGGAGAAAATGTGACACTGACATGTGATGCCACCTCATCAGGCAACATTAAATCATTTTCCTGGCTGGCTAAGAATAAAAGTGTGTGTCAATATGGAGACAACGGATCATCTGAGGTTCTGTGTGAAAGCACGGCCCAGCCCCACAGACTCACTCTGTCTCTGCTCAACGTGATGCCGGTCGACCAGGGGAAATACATCTGTAAACTACATTCCACCAGCGGAGCAAAGTCCAACACAACTCATGTTACAGTACAAGGTGAGCGACAACTTTTTCTTTTTTTAAACATGTTGTTCTCGCTGTCTTCTTTTCATCTAAAAGTCCCTGATCATTACAGACTGCATTGGAAGTTGTGGCTCCTCCATCAATGGGTCTCATGCTGAGTGCTGGTTCAATGGAGTTTACCCCATCGGCACCGTCCACTGGTTCCAGGGAGATGGTAACTTCACGCTCTCAGCCAGCACACAGGCAGAGAAGGACCCTCATGGACGGTTCAATGTCTCGAGTACAATTCGTGTACAGAAAGGAAACCTGAATCAGCCGTACGAATGCTCACTGTGGATACCCTCTGCCAGGAAGCGGCTCTCTAGTCAACTAATACCTTTGGTTGAGAAACAGATCAGGTCATCAGGATGCACGGTCAAACTGCAGTGGATCTGTATAATGGCGGGGATCATGACATTTATGATATGAAGAGAAGAAACAGTGTTTCAGTTGTTGATAGAAAAGCAAAAAACAGAAATGAGAGGAGGCAAAGATTGAGGCATTAAAAAGGGTTAGGTGACGGTCTATTCGACTTCTGTAGTTTTGTTTGCAATTGTTGCTGAGTGCTGCCGCTGAGTGGGCACATCATTGTTTTCAACATGTGATCTAATAACTTGCAATTGAGAGCCGACGGGCAACTCTCTTCTCTGGAAAGATGAGACCTGAAGCAACACTTTTTATGACTCCCATGTCTATAATAAAATATCAACATACTTATAATGCGTTATAATCAGCTTACAGCATCGTATAATTGAACTCATTCATGTTCATAATACTTTATAACTATAACGACAACACATTATAGAACATTTTAAGGATATTTTTTTACAACTATGGGAATTTTAATACACAATGTCAGTAATCATGATACCCTATAACACATTATACAATGCTTTATAATGTGTTATGGTGACACTATAAGTATGTTTAAGTAAGTTTGTAAATCTTTAACTGGAGATGAGGAAGTCAGCTGATTTAATGATTGTTTTGAGTACAAATCTAAAAGCGTATTTTGACTTCCCCTCCTGCCTGATTAGGGGGAGTTTGCTTTTCTAAGCTTACTGATTCACTGTTGGCACTCAGAACTAATGACTGTGGACTCTGAGAGGACTTTGACTGATGAAACAATGTGCAGTTATCCTAAAAAAGAGACTCCAACCTTTGCAGAAACAGCATTTGTGTTTTGAAATGCCATAATGTGTTTTGTTTTACTGGTAGTTGTAGGAAATGACTTCATCAAACCTTCACTTCATGCTGATGGCCAGAAGGAGGCAGTCCTCCCATGTAGGAAAGATAAGGAGCGCTGATTTACTGCCTTTACGCACCTCTTGTTTATTGTAAAAGCTTTTTAAATCTGTTTTGTAGTTATGCTACAAAAAAGTGTCAAATATAATGAATTTCATCGAGGTAAGTTTTGTGAGAATATGTCATTTAAAACCCGGCTACAGACAGAAAAAGCAACTCGTTCATATCGTACATCCTCTCTTTTTTAGGATTTGTATCTGGTGTTCCTCAAAGATAAAGTTTCTGTTCCAACCGAATGTGTTTGCTCATCTGTGGTGTGACTATGTCTGTGGAAAGTTATGCGAGTTTAGACATCTGTGTAGGTGGTGGCCTCATACAACAGTATTTGGTTGTGTTTTAGTTTGGTGTTCTTTCTTGAACCATTTTGTGTTTCGCAGCCTGTTGAATATGCTTTTGTATTTCAGTTTGAGTTTGTTGACAATTTGCTCTGAGACGCAACATTCAAATGACAAACAGGTTTTGCTCGGGTGCATAGTGGAAAGACAACTTTTCTTTGCGTTTGTATTTGTATGCATTTCTTCTTTTGTGAAACTGAAATAAACTCAAAAGACCCGATGGAGTCTCTTGCATTAGTGACAAAACATCCTTAATTCTGCAACCGTCTAGTCGGATTTACATGAGCCAACTATGAGCCACTCAGATAAGATTGCCATAAATATAAACATATGTAACCAAGAGTGCAAGCGAGGACATGTGCAGGTATTGTGTTGCACAATTACTTTCCCTCATGTGTTGTTTTCATCACAGTAGGCACCGTTACATAAACAGGAGCAAAGCCACGAAGAGAAACTTAAAAATGAACTTCAAGGCTCAAAGTGAAGAAATGATACATCAGTGAAATAGAAGCAAATGCTCCTCTCCAACCTTCTGCTGCTCCGCAGAGTCAAAGACAAAAGACGGCCGTCACCGGAGGCTTTGAGTTGGTAAACCAAGCTACTGGAGCGGGAGAGGCCGTTAAGATAACATGACCTCAGGAGACCCTGTGGAGAGCAGATACACACTGCAGATGAGTTACTGAGGACAGAACACAGACGAGACACTGACGTGTTTGCTCCAGTAGAACAACAACAACAACATTGGATTAATTGCAGATCAGTCGTGTTTTATTCAGTACACTCAGGGAACACAATCCATAACCTATAATCATTCAGGATTAATATCAACAGAATATTACAATACTACACACTATATAAGTCTACATGTGGAAATTAGTATGAGCATCATTATCAAGGCTTAAAGGAATACTTTGACATTTTGGGATATACTGTTTGCATATTCAGTTTGCAGATTGACACACGGTGGTATCAATCTTCTCATCTATCTCTGTGCGGGAAACTGAATATGTGCATCTCATGAATGTTGATGGTTGTATTCACACGCTGCTGTGAAGAGAACGTATTGTAGAAAACAGTGGTTGGTGTTTCATAATGGGAACAACAAATATTCACCCACTGTTATGTTAAAATCAATGATCTTTATATGCGAATAACTGCTTGTCTTTTTTTCAAGTGAGGAACGTTGTTTATCTTGTGTTGTGTCAGCAATATTACAAATATGCTGTTAAATAATCCTACAAGAGCCGTGTGTAAACACTACGAACCACAAACGTAAGCACACAATGTATATATTATCGTACAGAAGAAATGAACATCTGTCAAATCAGATCTAATCCAGATGTTTGCAGGCTAAGCTGGACCTCAACCTTTGTGTCTGCAAAGACAACAGCGTTGAGTTGAGACTAAAACACTGTTGCCATGGTGAACCTGAGCTGCTGAAGCTTTTCATAAAGACAATATGTCGGCTTTGTCTCAAATTTGCTGGTTTTCTTCTTTTGGTGCAGAAAATTGGAGCCCAGCAATCAGATATGCTTGGCTTTGAAGGGCACTCCGGTTCGAGGAGCAATCCGATTCCCCATCAAGTAAGAGGTCAAACTCTTATCTGAGGGCCGGTTGCATTCACTTTATTTGTAGTTAGTACAAATAAAGGGTTTGTGGGTTCAAACAGCACTTTGTGGGACTATAGGGAAGCGTTCATCTCAGAAGTAATTCAGCTAATCGCTGACATCACTGATGTCTTTTGTTTGATTCTTATTTCATGACACATGCTCTTAAGAGTAGATGTGTCACAGTCAGGAGAGCGGCAGGAGCCAATGGAAGAATGATAATACAATGTTAGCAGGAAATCACTCATCAGGCAGACTGGTGCAGTTCAATGATTTACATAGAAAAGCTTACAATGGCAGCAGGTCTGGCAGGCGGGTAACAGGCAGACAGGTATAGCTGCATTGAAACATGACAGAGAACAAAGGAACCTGGGCTGGAGTACAACAGCAGGGTCTCATGAGAGGGAATGGGGAGCAGCTGGGTGATTGCAGGTGAGGAGGTGGACGAGGAAAGGCCGTGCAGAGCAGACGAGTGAAGTGGAAGACGGGGCACGTTCAATGTGAACACGGTGTGCTTTGTTTCCACGAACCGTTGTGAAGCGGTGAGCAGTGGGCTTTGAGGCATGTGTTCTCTCGTTAGGTGGATGTGTCAGAGGTGTTACTCATGCATCATAGCAGTCTTGAAGGTAAGAAGTGGATTATTGCTCACCTGTTGGATCACTATAATTAGGGACCACTGTCTCCTCATAACCCGTCACTCAATTGGGATGTTCTCTGCTATTATGGACAGCGAGTGCAGTGTGTAAGAGTGTGTTAACACGTATATTTACAGATTTCATCAGGCTCTGAAAAATCCTTGGAAAAGAATGAAAAGAAAAGCCTTCTCTGGGACAAGACTTGTGTGATCCGTCTGTTCACGTTGACTCTCTGAAGAGGAAACAGAGTTCAGCTGAACAATGCAAACTGTGAAAGATATACAACACAAATACCTGGCCGGTTTCCTTCCGCGTGACAAGTGAAAGGCCTCCTGTTTAAAGGCATCCATGCAGAACTTGACAAACACAAAATGACGTAAATCCTGGGTGTTATCTAGAATCATGTAGCAGACCATGTCCCGTACGAATGAGGAGAACAAAATAAATAAGAAAGAGTACAACGTGCACACAATATATATTTGTGGTGAGAGTCATTCCACAAAGAGAGAGGACTCATCATCACAAACCTCTCCGATCCTCAGAAGCTGCTTTGTCGTTAAAGACCACATCTGTACTGATGTGCAACATATTATTCAGCTTTCGCCTCCCACATCTTTTGTTCTGTTGGCCAGATATTCTTTCAACATTGTGTATATATACAGTATAATATATACACAGACCTGAGTTCACAGCAGCTACTCCTTACCCTTTTCATCATGAGTGGAAATGCTTTCTCGGAATAACGCACTTCTCCACATCCTTAAGTGGAGCGGTTACCCATCTATAAACGAAGTTCCAGGAAAGTTGTAATTTCTTCTTCTTCCAACCTTTAACAGACCAATTAAGTCATGCATCACGAAGTGGAGTGAAAAAAGCAGTGACGTACCTTTACAGACGGACACACGTCTGTAAAGATAGTCATGTTTTACATTGGAAATGTAAAACATGACTATAAAAATTAGTATTTTCCCCAACAGCAGCAAGATCCGCAGATGAATGATCTGTATCTTTGTTCTGTATCTTTGTGCAGATGTCTGTCACTGACAGTCAATCAGCTGCATGCTATGTTCTCCTATTTTTTACATGTAAAAAATAAAACCTCTCGACATTTGCAGTATTTTTTAGCGGTGATGAATAAACGTGTTCCACAACGTAAGAACTACATCTGTTGCTAATATTGAACTTAATGAATACTTACAACCACAGTTACATAAAATAAAGGTTACGTCACCTTCCAATTATTTTATGTAACTGCGGTTGTTCAGGCTGCTCCTCTCCGCTCTGATCCTCGGCATTCTTCCATCCGTGGATACTGAGCGCTATCACCTCATGCAGTGCTTCCACAACACTTCCTGTAAACACTCATGAGGTCTGCAGCCATGTGGAAGACGTGGCAAAAGTAATCAGGAAGACGTCGTCCAATAGTTAATCAGCTGGATTAAACTGAATTAGAATAATTGTCTACAACTCATGCAGTGATGATACAGAACAATAAATCCATTACTTTGCTACATTTCCAATGTATGTCTCTAATAAGGCACAATTGGACAGTTTAAAAACTATACATGTGTAAAGGAATACATTTCAAAACATGTTTAATATTTTTCTAACTTTCTTTGCAGTATTGTTCATAATTCATGAGATTTTTTTCATGTTTCAGTGCCGATTGTTCTCTTTCACACCTCTGACTTTGATGTATTTGTATTATGTTGGGTGTAATGTGTATAATATGTCTAACTGTATGCAGTGGAAGTGCAAACATATGCCGTTTGCCGTATGTAGTATACGTTTATATTTTTGGTTCAGACCCGAAGGAAGCGTGGGCCATGTTGCCATGGTAACAGCTAATGAGGAACCAAACAAACAATTCTACGTCCGTGAAAATGAACGTAGTCTTCATTTCATCTCAAGGTCTACTGAGATGGAACGTCACCTTCAAGGATGCAAAGCACAATAAAAACACATCGGGGATCAAATGCTTTTCAAGAGCAACATTTAATCAGACGTCCTCACGGACTCCTCTGCGCTTTGGAGAGATGTGGAGACGTTTGTGTACAACAAGAAGAGATATTCTAAGTCCTTCCCAAACTTTAATATTATTCTAGTTGAATTCATTTTGTACACAGATACATTAATCCTAAACCCCGTTTAACCTTCTGTATATCGACTTGTTTAATTGTTTATTTATCACGTCTAACTACGTTGTTTTTTATATTTAATTTAATTAATTTGCTTTTCATATTTAATTTGATTGACTAACTTTTTTACGCAGTGGAACCGTGTTAAGATGCTCATGACCTGCTGGATGTCAATGTTGTTCACAATGTTAAATAAAATAATTAGCTTCACGGGAACATCATGACAGGTGCATTAAAAAATAGACAAGGTTATTTACATCTAATGAAGTTCGTCTGCTTGTTAAGCAGGACTATAATAGACCCACATGGGCCTCTTTAAACAACACTTTTGTCGTCCTTATAACGATGCATTTTATTCAAACATCAACTACTGCCAAACGGCACTCACCCGTTTTTTTGGACTCATTCTCTGAATAAAGATGAAACTACTGGTTCACCCAGAGTAACACTATCAGAGGGAAGCCAGGTGTGCTGGCTCCGCTGGAGTCTACGGTCGTCCTGTCGGTAGACGTGGCTGATCACATTACTACCCATTATCTCGCTGCGTTACACAGTCAAACAGAAACCAACCAGCTGCGCCTTCTTGATGAGCTTCATGACACTCAAGAGTTTTTACACTTCCGCCTCAGAGGCAGAGTGCAGTGTTTGTGTGTATGTCAAGTTAGAGATGGAGTGTCTGTGTGTGTGTGTGTGTGTGTGTGTGTTTGCAGTCTGCAGCTGACAGCCCAGTAACATTAGGACCTACACTGGGAAATCAGGCGAAAGGTCACAGTTGAACTCATTGACTGCTGAGGAGGAGGATGTCATTGCTGATTCAACAGAATCAGCTCTGTG